TCTTGTGCTAAATCACTGCATGCTAGTTTTATTTAATTTATGATGTTTTTTTTTACAAATAATGAATAAAAAAAAATACATTTATTTTTTATTTAATTAGTTTCTATTTGAGCTGTTCTTCATTGAAAAATGTGAACTATGAAGTGTTATTGTTATATTTATTTCTTTATTTTGAAAAAAAAGAAAGCTGTTTGAAATGGAAAATGACAGAGGTTTTTATATATACATAAAACAAAGATGCTTGTTGCAGAAGGTGTTGAAAGTTTATGTAGCAGGCTGTTACGTTGTTACAGCTCTCATCCATGATCATTTTCCCAGAATCATGTGGTAACTGCCCCCGGGTAAGCTCCACGTAAAGCAGATGTGTTTAAAATATTCATCAACATATCATGAAATATTTTCTTAAGATGCTAGTGGTGGGTGCCGCACTGCAGTTTATGGCCAGTTTTTCATCAGAAAGCATTGTGCTGTCTTCCTGGCTCCAATATATTTCTCTTGGTGGCTTAAACAGGTTTGGCTCAGACAGTCTGTCACATTTATTTATGGACAATGTTTATGATCAAATGATGAAGTGTAAGGAGTGTATGGTAAGTCGATAGATTAACTGGTTAGTGCTGAAGCTGTCAGTGGGAGACACTTGAATGACCTGCAGATTATTGCAAAGACTGGTCAGTTTGTTTTCACTAGATCGGTGGTTGTCAGTCCTGGTTCTTGAGTACCAAAGCAGTTGAACCTTATTTAACACACCATCAGCTCATTAGTAGAGGCTCCAGGACCCGAACAGGGTGTGTCAGATAAGGACAGACATCTAATATGTGCAGTGCCAGGATTAGAATTGACCACCACTGCACTAGATCAAATCATGGTTAAACGGATCAGAAATATGATCTTACTGCCCAGTGTTTATTAGGACATTTCCCTTGCCCCATTAACTGCACATTTAATTGTCTCCAGACCTTTTGCATGGCACTATCACAGACGCTCAAGCTCTCAGGTTGCTGACTGCATAACCATATAGTGAGTCAGTCTGGAAAACCGAATTTCCTCGGAGGAGGCCCAAAGCTTAATGCAGAGACAATTGTTATTTCAAAAGACTTTGAGTAGGAACAAAACACACCCATCAAGCCCCTCACAGCACACTAAAGACCTCTTATGAATGCCTGTGAGGAGCCTGTGGTGCAGATATGAGAACAGTGGGTTGGTTTTGAACTGATTTGGGTC